AAATCCTGGTTACGGCCCTGGTCCTATATTTCAGATCTGTGATGGTATGTGGCTAGGAAATGTGTAAGAATGAGAAGTGGGAATATGTTAGGATAAACTTGTTTATTGACTTTCACATATACATAGAATATTACACTTTGGAAACATTGAATATAATCATTTGAATATATTATGACACAAAACACAACAGCCATGTTCAATGATGAATAGACAAGTACTCCATTACAGTGCTTAACACGATATTACACATGAATACGGTAAAATTGTAAAAAATGGTGGGGTCGGGTCTGCTCTTCGCGTTTCTATGCGATAACGACCTGACACTAGAAATTTTTTTAGAAAAATATTGCATGTTTGTTTTGAGCTTACATAGGAACGCGAAGTCTTGCAACACCTCGACCGGATATGTCTCGAAATGGTCTGGAAACGCCGCAAACAGCGCTCACAAAACATTGCCACAAAAATATTTGCCATTTATCAACTGCACAATTGCGATTTTTTAACTGCTACAAATTTTATAAAATATCGCAGTCAGTACTATGATATGTTCCAGAAACTTTTTCTTAAAGGGAGGTGGAATGTGGAAACTAGATCTATTGGCAATGCTAGAGTCTAGGGCTCTAAGGTACGTAATAGCAGAGATTTTGATCGCGTTTCTATTTTATCCAAAGTTTCTCCGTTTTTGCTGAACACACTGATGAGTGCATTGACAAATGTTCATCTAATCTACCTATACACTAATATATCCTCTTACTTATTACTTTCTAACAATAATGATATGGATAATCAAGCTCACAAGTTTTAGATTAAAATATCTCTTATAATTATCATGCAATTTTGGCTCCCACTTATCTTATAAAAAGTTTATTTTCCATGACGATCACATTTTGAAAAAATCTCGCACGAGATTCTTCTGTCTCACAAAATGCTACAACGTACATGAAAACACATTATTAAAAAATAAGTTTCTTTATACAATTAATGCGGCACCTTTGATATGATAGATCTACTCCACCTTGATATGTTTGTAGGCCATTTTCGTCCCAATCAAAAACTGAGATATTTGTGTTAGTGTGCGTTCAAACCAAGAGATTCGAAAATGAATTAAATTGTGGTACTTACAGCTAGGACATCACGCAAACATCAAGAGAGAGAGAGAAAAGACACATAGTTAAGAATTGGGACAATTGAGTTTGTGGTGGATGTAAAATTCAGACGGTACTCAGTCCTATTCCTTCAGAAGGAACGATCTGATATGTATGGAAAGTGTTGAATCCGCGTAGAGACACTCCACTCCAACCTCCATCGAGAAAGAGACACAATCACTCACTGATGTTCAAAAAGAAACTGCAATGAAAATCGGATGAGTGTCTCTACTTCGGCTTCCTCATAAATCTAAGAAATTGATAACAAGAAGCTTTTAAATACGCTCGTCTATCAGTATAAGCAACGTACATGCTCTAATTTTATATTGAATGATGCAAAACAGGTTAAACTCTAATTTTACATATAAAATATTCACGTTAAAATTCTAGCTAATGCTTGACTATAAACTCCATAATTACAAATAAAACACATTACTAAGTATAATTAATATTAAACGAATCTCACTATACATGCCCACAAGCTCATGACTATCGATGCAACGCAATAACCGATTCGGTTAGAACCGCTCGGTGAGTTGTCATACGACTTTATAACGCAATTCATTTTTCCCAAAGGCAAATTTTGCAAGTTATATTCCCGGTGTTCTTGCTGCATCATGCACACTGTTCGCTTCTTCTGCATCATTTCATCGTCTTTATCTTTCAAACTTCGTAGCCAATTCTTGTACCATTGAAGCTCACAATTGCACAACAACGGATTATCTGCAAGAGACTGTTTAACCCATCACGACATACGTGCCTAAACTTACCCATTATGTCGACCACTCGCAAAGTGTCCAAAATAGGCTCCATCACGTCCTCGCCAATGTGCATTAGTTTGTTGTTTTGTAAGTTTAAGGTTTCAAGAGAGTTGAGGTTCTCAAAAGTTAGTCCTGTCAAGGTGCGAATGCTGAAAATGTAAGTAACAGGAAAATCAAATTGAAAATCAGGTAATGGGGTGAAACAGTCGTCTTGTTGTAATTTAGAGTTAATAGGTGATTACATTAACCACGTTTTTAATTTCAAAGTTCGTCTAATAGCAGCTTAAGTTCATTCAAATTAAGTAATAAAATTTTATACACCATTCCAGGACTTCCCCTATCCAACTCATTTAATTGAAACTGCAAAGTGCTAAACTTTCTATTAACGAGCACGTTTGCTGGCAATGGTAAAGGCAACATGTTAGTTCTAATTTTAATTTTACGAAGTTATAAAGTGGTATTCTTGAATAATTGCTTTCTATTTAACAATGCAACGTCAATTTACCAAAGACGGAGCGAGAAAAATGGATATTTCTCAGAATATTCGAAATGTGTATTACAAGTAGGCGCTGATCGTACACGAATATTATTTAATTTAAGTTGTTGGAAAATTCTACAGTAATGAAATTACAGCACTGCTACATGTTTGTTAGCAAGTTATTCCACTGGTGCAAATGGCATAATAATAATCCATCATTTTATCAAAGCACGAGCTGTGTTTTAATGACAAAAACTTTGATGCTGTATTTTGTAAATAATAAAAATTTCTGTTGAATTTCACACCGACTGCACATTAAAAACAACAAATTACATTGCAAGTGATAACTGATAATAAAAGTTTTTTATGTATAAAGAAAATAAACAACAATTTCAATAAAAGTTTGAACGCATCAAGACGCTTTTTCGTAGCCAATCAGCTAGTACCTTGACGTCATATCAGGCGAATCGGAGAGTTGTTTAATCGTATGACTGTAAAGGACGCAAAAAATGGTGAACCGGAATTGTGTAATATTCGAATTATTTTGTGACGTTTCGGGATTACGCAGTCCTGAACAAAGACCTTTTACAACGAAACTCTTACGAAATGGGTTTTTGAGGATTCCGGCGTTTTTGAGGGAATTATTACAATAACGAGTCAGTCTTAGCCAAGCTTCTGTAGGTGTTACTTGAATTGTAATAATTGTCCGAATAAATTACTTATTTCCTGGTTGATTGGAGAAAATGTGTAAAAATGGGGGCTGTATTATCAGTGCGTGCGTGTTGGATATTTTCGAGTGCTTAATAGACATTTAGTAGTGCGCGATTTTTAAACTCTCTAGTGATAAGTGTGTGCTAATGGGGGAATGGAGAAGACAATCGTGCTACAAGGATCCGGATTAAAGGGTAAGTCGAGAATATCTTTTAATTAAAAAAAAATACATTTTAATTTTATTTGATATTTTCAATTGATTTAATAATACATGAACTGATTTTGTGTTTCTTTATTTTCAGTGGGTCCGTTTAAGAAGCAGAGGCGAATTGCTACAAAGGGTAGCAGAAGAAAATGCCATACAAGGTTAGAGCATTTTATTTTTTTATTTTCTTGTTTATCGCAAAATGAAGTGTGTGAATTTGTGTTTTTTGAGTGCAACAGTAAGTATTTATTAAATTATGAATAGAAATTAGTTGTAATTTAGATAAAATGTATTATTTCTCAAATTCTTTTTCAAATTTGTAGAAGGCTGCTACCAAACAATTTAGAAGTAAATTTTGAAATTTTAAAATTAAATTCAAATTTCATTATTAAGATTCAAATAGCAACCCTTTTAAAAATTTGTAATATTGTTAGGAAATTAATTAATTTAATTTTTTTTCTTTATACTCCTAATAATTTAAAAATAATTAACCAATTTTGCTTAGTTAGTAAAGTTTCTTACTCTTAGAACAGTTTCCCTTTGTTTTTTTGTTTTTATAGATAAGCCATTGTTTTTTTTATAATTTGTGACTACATAGGCACCTACCCTTCACCTATAGTTTCTGTCTCGTTTTGATTTTTAAGAAATAAAATTTGTTAATAATTAATTTTTATTTTTCATGTACCATTTTTTCAAAACCGACCTTTGAGACATTTTACCTCTTGTAAAATAACGAGTTGTTTGGTTCACTTGTGAATTTGATTGGGAGTTTTTTTGCGACGTGTTAAAAATCAGATATTCGAAATTTACAGTACGTTACGTTTCTTATTAGGTTTTTTTCGTGTTATGTACTCGTAGAGCGTGAAAGCCGATCAGAAGTGTCCTATTGTTAAATTATCTTCACAAAAAGGATACTTACAAATTTTTCTGTAGATTAAGAAAAGTGATAGAATCCCCAAAACCAATAAAGGCATCCTCTGCAATATAACTTATATTGTTTGATCTGAGGTCCAAATGACGAAGTCTGTGGAGACGTTTTAGGGCTTCAGTGGGAATGGTGTGAATATTGTTATCTCCTAATCGCAAATACTGCAGATTTTCTGAAATAATAATAATAATGACATGCTATGAATACAAAACAAAACTTAAAACTTTTTTTTTATGTGTCACCGATTGCAATCTTGTTTTTGTATGGAATACATAACATATTTCCAATAAACTGAATCGTAAGTTAAAGTTTGTTTGCTACATTAAGAAGCAACTCAAAGAGGAATGGAGTGTTTAAATTCCTTAAAAAAAAGGATTTTCATACTTTAACAATTTTGCAGAATTTTTTACCTAATTGTTTCTACCTATTTCTTATTAAATCAAAGGTTAATTAGGTATTTTTCCGTTGTTGATTTATTCGTAAAATAAAGCGTTAAAAAATAGAACTAAAGAAATACCAAAAATTCACTATTACTATCTCTGTTCCAAATTATGGTATACATTACCATAATTTGGAAGAGAGGTAGTAATATATAAAAAGACTTCAATAATAAAATAAGATAAAAAAACGTTAGACTGCATTTAGAGAATTAGTTTTGTATCATAGATAAAATCTTACCTTCAAGCCCCGCAAAAGCTTCTGGATCGATCGTATCAATATTGTTCCCATCGAGTTCCAAAGAATTCAAAAGTGTAAGATGCGAGAAAACTCTTGATGGAACTTGCCTAAGCTTATTGTGGGCCAATCCTAACGAATCAAGATTTTTCAGACCTGAAAAGAATATAAAACTTAAGATTACGACACAAACTTTCACACTGAATTCCTGAAAACTTTCTAAAACATAGAAAGCTTACAAACCTTCAAAATCGCCTTCTTTAATTTCCGTGAGCCGATTTTCTTGCATCTCGAGCTTTTTAAGCGTATCTAAAATCGAGAGCGCTTTTTGCGGAACTTCAGTTAAGCTGTTACCACCCAAATTCAATCTCTTCAACTTCCTGCAACATTTTTTTTTATTTAAGTTGTTATTAAAAATTCTGAATGTAATATTTGTAATTTGTGGATATTGCACGGGAACTAACTTTTCTAGTCCGACAAAAGCTCCGTCCTCGATGGTGGTAATCTTGTTCTCATACAAAGTGAGTATTTCGAGAGTGTCTAGTCCCTGAAAAGCCTTTGAATGCACGACACTGATTTTGTTGTGGTTCATGTTCAAGATAAGGAGCTGGTGCAGGCTCGCAAAGGCCGATGATGGGACGACCGTTAGGCTATTTTGGGACACGTCGAGTTGCGTCAACATTTTACCAATAGAACTTAAAGACATTTCTTCCATTGTTGATAAACTGCTGTTGTGAATAGTCAAGTGATAGATATCTAAACCCAGGAATATGTAGCCGGTCAACTTGCGCAAGTTGTTGTGTCGAAGCTTCAAATAGAATATTACGAATTCTCTTCCTTTTAACTTGTCCATGGCACTAGTGATGTGTTGCTGGTCCGTGAACTCGCAGAGGATGTCTAAACCGTTTTTCTTTAACGTACAAGAGCATGGTGAGATCTCCGAACGCGCTGGACACTGCTGCTGCACCTGCAAAAACAAAACTTGTTAGCTTAGCACTCATTTATTGATCTAAAAGACGGGAAAGGATCCTGAAACGTTTTCGAGGTAACACCAAAGTGGATACAAAAACGAGAGAACATAAAAGTTGAATGAAAATAGACAAAAACACCACACGTTGAGTAAAAATATAGAACTAAACTTGCTTTTAGAAATCTTCTCTTTAAATATGGTGTTATAAAAATGTGAATTCGGATTATTGGAATGATGTTAGAAAATTAGAAATTTGAAAAACTTATTAAAATATTGCATTTTCATGTTTTTGAAATTTTGAATTATATCACTTTTCTTGATTAAAGACAAAATTTCAATTTTTATTACGGCAAGTATTGACCCACTAACATTGACCCCAGTGGCGCAGCCAGAGGTTGAGTTTAGGGGGGCTTACCTATGTAAAAAATTTCGAGCACTTACTCGCGTATCAAAGTAGGAGGTTGTTACACGTGTTTTTTACACTATTTTTTGTATTGAGAGATTTTTAAATTGAATTTAGTATTATACTGCGTGTCTCAAAATTGGCGAATTCCGAGTGCATAGCGTTGTTGAGAATCACTTCAATACTCCAAATGTCAAAAAAATGGGATTCGGGGCTTCTCCACAAAGATACATTGGTCTTAAGGCTAAAAATTCCAGTGCTTATTGTCATTTATGGTGTAAATTATTGTGGAAAATAATGATGTAAAACAATTTCTTGAAGAATTAACTTTATTTTAGAGTAAACAAATCTTAAATTTTTATAATTTTTCTCAAAAATTTTACGGCAACGTGTATTTGATTGTTAAAATTTTCGTCGTATGCAGTACCCAAATTGCTTAAAAATAGCTCAAACTGCATTAGTTTTGATGAAATACCTTGATCTACAACATTTCTCCCAATATGCACAATCAGTGAAATTTATTGAAATTTTAAAGATACATTATTTTTTTATATTTAATAGAATGAAGTAAAATCGCTTTGAAACAGCTCGGAGCGGTTTATTGCAAATAACTTCGGAATTAATGACCTTAGTCCTTTTTGTTTGGTACCGTTGGAAATCAAATTTAATAATTTAATTAGATAATTGTCCCACGTTAAATAGTTATCGAGAAAATTACTGACAAAATCAAAAATATCGAAAATATTAATTCAGCTATAATTTCTAGACGATCAAGAATTTTGCAATTTTCTCGACGCAAATCGATTTCTCGGAACATTTTACATACCTATGTATTCATAAAACATTTTTAACATTTGAGGTACAGTTTTGCAAAATTAACAAAATAAAAAATTGAGTCAAAGTGCAAAATTTAAACTTTCATAACTTTGGAATTTCACCCTATTATATGCGGAAACGAGTTTTTAAGTCTCAACTTATTTTTAATTTTAATTCAGAAATTGGCAATAGTTTGAAATAGTTCTATTAGTGGTTCGAATGTTTACTCGTAATCCGCGAACACCCTGTATAAAAATGTTCCGTAACCGACTGACTTACTGACTGACAGACAACGCACAGCTAAACCACTGCAGCTAGAAACATGAAATTTCCTTAGACAACAACCGATAAGAAAGGATTTTTTGAAAATCAATTTCTAAGGGGGTGAAATGGGATGTAAACGTTTAAACGACGATAGAAACATAAAATTTGGAAGATATGTTGTAAAGATGCAGTAAGGCGTTTTGTTTTGGGGTAAATAGTGTGTGCTATTTCTGTTTCATTTGCGAAGAGGCCCAGAAGAAAATAAAAACTTGACGCAGTTCATAACTAATATTTTAAAATTCAACAAGGGAATTTTTCACAGCTTATTTCTTCCTGCAAGGTCATATACATTATTGCCATCATCTTTAAAAAGTGCCACCAAGGGTGCTTTCTATTTTATTAGATAACATCACGTCAGATGGAATTCTATGCTTTGCAAACAACGTGGATTATATTATAACAAACTGGAAGACAGAGTAACGCCTGAATTAATTCAAGAATAAAATGTAAATACAGAGATGACAATTCAAAGATATTTACCACCCTGTTTGCAAAGCCGTGCAATCACTTAATGTATTTACATTCAGCGTCTAAACGAAATTGAATTTCTGTTAAACTGAACTCAATTCTCAGTATTTGCACATCTTTTTATGTTTTTTAGCCTGGGAAACTAATTTAAACAAACGAAAAATGAAAAGGTTGACAGGGGCTTTGTGCTATAAATCCTTTATTTGCATTTTATTACAGGAATATCAAATTTTATCGCTTTTATTTGCAGCCTTAAACATCCTAACAAGTTTTATTAAAACACCGAACAACGAAATTCTAACTAACGCAACAAAATTATCTTTAGTTTAATTAAAATATTAATTACGTAAACTTCTCGCGTTTCTTATTATTTCATTTTCAGAATCCCCACTTTAAAAATAACAACCTTTAATTGAAGTTTGTTTTTATTCGAATTAAAAAATAGAGCTTCAACTCAATATGAATTTTTCATGAATACTGCTGGGAAATGATCATCGTTTATTCTCGTTGTGTATTTATGTACATAGGTACTCTATATAGAGTAAATTTTTAAACAATTTTTTATCAGAAAATGGTAATTGGAACTTAATGTAATTGATTAAGCAAAATGTTCCCACTAGAATGTCTAGACCAGATCAATTAATAAGACGACGGAAATTCAAATTCACTAATTTGACGAGTATTGATCAGGTGATTTCCGGTTGAAAGGAGAACTAACTAGTAGAGCGCTGTAGATTCTCTGCAACCCCTGGTAATTGCTTTGCAAAACGTCCTAACGAGGGAGTTTCATTACCCCACATTTCTATCAAATATTCACATACAATCGTGATATAATGTTTCGTATAAACACCTTCCGAAATGGCAGGACGTGACCAAACTGCTCAAAAAAGGAAAAAGCCTCGGAAAAAGCATTTATTGTCTTCCCAAAATTGAATTTTTCATGAATTAGTTTTTTGTTGTGAATTTAGCACGCGCAGGGTGTTGTCCTTTCAGGATGTGCCTGCAATTTTAATAAAAAATGGCGGCTCAATTAATGTCAGGCAATTTCTCTACGTAATTGGGGCATGAGGTTTTGAAATAGTCACGAAATAAAAGTTAATTAGAGCTTAAAATGGGGAAAATTACATTAAATGCAAGCTAGAAAGGATATTTGAAAAAGTTATCGGACTTATTTGTAAGCTTATTCACATCATTCGGATTCTAAAAACACGGAATGGTATTTACTATGCATTTGGGTCACATTGGGGTTTCCATAATTAAAGGGACTATTGATTCCGTGTGCTCGAGTTATAGGAACGATTATTTTGATTTGAATTTTAGTGATGAGTACTTACCTCGCATATGGCCAGAGCGCACAGTCCAGCCAACACAATCCAAGTCCATCTGACCACCCGCACTCTGGCCATGCTATCTACAACCCTCGCCCGTGGCGACTATGCCATCACCACTGGCTTCTCATGCAATCTGAAACAATCACTCTCATTAGAACAAAATTAATAATGTATAAATCAATAGAGCCCAAATTTGAGCATTTTTGCCCTTTCATAAACCATTTTCAGATATATTCATGTTTAGCCTGAATTTCAGCACATTTAACATCCCTAAATGCGCAAATTAACTATTATATTCTGAATTAGCTTAATACAACCTAAAGTTCATTTTACAGGACTTAAAGTAGGGATGTTTTACCATTGACCAAAAAAAAATTGATGGTAGAGAAGAAACTGCTGGACTCGTCGGAATAATTCTTCGGAAATTGTTTCTAGGAATTTAAATATAAATTTTTAAATTCTTAAACCTAAACAAAGTTTTTGAAACTTAAAACTAGGACTTTCCTTCAAATACATTACTCGGTGAAAAAATATTTACAATGTTTTTTTTATTGATTTCAATGTATGTAGATATTTGTTTTTTTTTTGTTTTCTCTCTTTGCCGTATGTAAATACAGCAAAGTGAACAGGAAGTATGAAACCAAGCGTTTTTTTGCATCATCATTTGTTTCAGAAAATAATAATAATTAATAAAAATTAGAGTGCTAAAAGTGTGATTATGTTTTGAGATTGAAATTTTATTTTGTTTTCGATAAAAACTGAAGAAAATGTAGATAGTTGTAATCCTTAGATCACTGCTTATAATGCTTATAAGGGGTTACCATTTCAAGAAAAATTAAGAATTTTGTAGAACTCAAAAAGGGAACAAAATTTCCAAAAATTTTCTTGAGAAACGTTCATATTTTTATAGCATTTTATTATTCATCAAATAGATTTTTCAAAAAATAAATAGTTAAGAGGTTTTTGTTCATCTGATATGTAATCATAATAAAGCAAAAAGTATACATTACATTTACTGCAGACTTGTCAATTAACTTGTTAAAATAAAATTGAACTTTACGAAATCAATGTTTTTCAAAAACTCCTTGAAAAAATAGTCTACATGTAAACAAATGTACCTACTCTTTTATCATTGATAACAATCTTTTAAATTTATTAGGCGACATAATTAGAAATCGCAATAAAGATTTTCTACAACTTTATTTATATTATTGGCTACAAACTTGTTTATACAAGGCTAGTTTACATTGTTTATAGTGAAACTCTATTTTATTTTTCTCATGCCAATATTACCAATATTATTACCAATATTACGTTATGCATAATTAAAAAATGCTATGTTTAATTTCTATAAAACATTTTGGAATCCGATAGGCTTTGACCAGTTTCACAACTGGTGAATATAAATTTACAAAAGTTTGCATCTTAAGTAATTTTGCTTAATAGAATGCCTTCTTAATTAAAAGTTTAGTTAGTTTAGTTAAACACATTATCGGACAACTTATATTTTAGAAAGTCAAGAAGGTTATTAAAATAACATGCTAAGATACCATAGCTTATCAGACTATGATACAGTCCAAAATATGCAGTAGATAAGATGCAACTAGAAACGGACTTTGATAGGAACATCAATATGCAAATACCAGTTTAAGACGTAAAACTTTGCTTTGGAAGAAGTTTTTTGAATTTTTTGGCAGATTCAAATTTATTAGCTAATTTTTACCCAAAATTAGGAATCCACAGTGAGTTTTTTCATTAAGTTATCACCCTAGCTCCTTTAGGAAGCATTTCCGGACAGGGGTTACTCATAGGAACTTTTTTTTATTTTGACGTAGGAAACCAACCCCCGTAATCTTTCACGTTTTTCCGGACAGCCTGTATAAATTTGCAACTACTATTTATATATTTTGTTTATTTACTTATTTATTTGCACTTCATTTTATGTTTTCTTAGGTTCAATGTACAGAAAACAAATTAGAATTTTATTTGAAAATTAAACAAATTCGTATTAAGTTGTCATTTACTTTTGATTGCCTAACATATCAAATTAATTGAATTAAAATTTGGATGCAAATAAAAAATAATTTTACAATATGTATTAGTTTTTTCAAATCGGACTTTTTGTATAAAATCTAGAACTATTATTTTCATAACGAATAGTTTTGTTAGTTTTGTAGCTATTAATACAAAGTAGACATCATGTTGAAGTTAATTTTCATCATAGTGCTAAACTTAACTTTGTTTCCAATAAATTAAATTTCAGTAAAAAGCGTACTCGTATTACGTTATAAACTTTCATAATTTATTTTAATAATGTTGGTTTAATATTTCTGTAACAACCAGCTTCGTATTATACTCATATTTCCGTATGTATGAAATATTTCAAATTTAAAACACTGAAATCAGAAATAGAGCAAATGGCAAACACGTCACAGTTGAATGAATAAAAAATTAAATAACTGCTTTGGAGATTCAGGATTTGAACGAGTTTCAATTTGTTCTTTTTCTAACGACCTATATTGCACAGAAATCGTTCAAAACTACGGTGCTCCTCGTAATGATTTTTTCATATTCAATTCCTATTTAAATGAGAGTTGACGTTGCAAATAGTATACACCCACAACTCAAGCTAAATTGTGTTGGGTGGTTTACAGTAACATAATGATTGATTAGAAAACTTTAGGCCTAGATATTTGTCTTTTATTACAAACAGTGTGGTTATGGTGTTTGTACAGCTTCGTATTTGATTTTAATATTTAATTATTCTTTTTGAACTTTCAGTGAAGCGACAACAGCTCTGAAACGCTGTTACAATAATTTTGCATTCTATTATATTAGAATTGTAAAACGCTTGCCTTTGTATCGCTAACAAAAATTAATTGGTGTGATGTTTGTGCCGAACTGATTACACGTGGCTTTTTCACAAAGGACGTTTTAGGTACTTCAGTGATTGATTTTGATGTTACATAAAAGATTAATTTTCCACTACTTTTTTATAAATTCGCATTGTTTCACTTTGTTGGCGTGAAATAAAATGATAAATTAATGATCAAAACTTACGATAACAATTTTCTTTATTTGGGTTCGGTGTGGAAAATTCGCCAAACTCGGTCACACACACAAAGACACAAACAGAACAATAGCAGAAATAAATAACTTATACAGACGTTTCTTCATAAACTTTTTAAACAAAAACCAGTGAACAAAGCACACACGTTTTTTACCCTCTTTATTGAGGGTTAACAACGCCGACAGCACACGTAGAATTTAATTAACACGTAGAGGGGTAAAACGCGACACATTACTTAATGTATTTCAGCTTTCCCTTGTTTACTTTCCAAATCAGTTTTTCCAAGCCGAGATATTCGTAACAAGAGTCAAAGATAGAAACTGGATAAAAGTAACCTTGATGTTTGAACGGGTTACTCAGATAATTTTGTGTATCAGTCATGAATGGTTTTTATAATAGGAAACTTCCTGCCAGTGTGCTTGAATAAAACTGCACCGACTCGTCTGTTTATTATTTTATTGGTGGTCATCTTGAAGGGCACATCGCCTTGATGGTGTTAATACGCAGTGATTCGCAGGTAATTAGGACTGGATTTGGCTTATCCGCCTAATTGCCACTAACATCATTTCACCTCATTTGCTTGGCAGCTCACGCTGAATCCTAGTACATCTAATTATCAAATATGTGATTTAGACAACTCAGGAAAAATATTAATATAATTTTTTCAAATAGGTCACAAATATATAGTTTTTGTGAAAAGACACATTCCTACGTATTTTCTACATAATTTCCTAATTTTTTTTTTTATCTTATTGTCTTTAAACATCTGATGTTGATGCTTTAGACTTCTTTCCTCTTCTTTATCATTTTTTTTTGTTTTTAGTCGGAACTTTCCTTTCTCTTTTCTCTTTTTTTATCTTCATTTTCTCAACGTTACTATATAAATACTATTTATTAGTTATTATTAATCGTTAATTAATTATACTGAATACTGAAAAGAAGCATTCTGCTCAATATCATTTCTTTTATCTTCTTTGTTATTACTAGAAACCAACAATAGTTTGTTACTAGGAAATATCGAACTAACATTGCAAACAACTCCTCAATATGTAATATGTAATGTCACGTTATTTTAATCTAATTTCGGCGGAAATTGATATAAATAATTGCACCAGTAAAGAGTTATTACAGAAAATAAGAAATGTTTTGTAAACTTAACACACGTAATTATGTATCTATTAAAATAAATTGTAATTGGATGTAGGACAATAAACATTATTATTATTATTATTACTATTGTTATTATTGTCTTCAATCTTCTGTTGACACTTTAGACTACTTTCTTCTCTTTTTCAATTTTGTTTTTTTAACAACCTTCCTTCCTCTTAGTCGAATCCTTTCTTTTTCGTTTCCCTTTTTTTTCGTCCTTTATTTTCCTAATTCTCTTCACTTTTATCTTTCTTTTGACGCAGTTTTTTTGCTTTTTTTTCTTCGCTTCTTACTTTTCTTTTTCCAGCCGCATCTTATATTGCAAATCAATACAAAAGCTTTTTTTTACATTTTTTCTGTTTGGTATTTTGGAAAAGATCTTGCTCAAATCAATACAAAAACTCTTTTTTACATTTTTTCTATTTGGTATTTTAAAATGGATCCTGCTCAGAATCACTTTTATCTTTCTTCTGTTGACGTTTTAGACTTCTTTTTGCTTCTTTTTCAATTTTGTTTTTGTTTTTTACTTTTAACACCCATCTTTTCTCTTATTCGAATGTTTTTTTTCCTTTTTTTTTCCTAATTCTCTTTCATTAAAAGCAATTTTTTTGCTTTTTTCTTCGCTCTTTGCTTCTCTTTTTCCAGCCGCATCTGATATTGCAAATCAATACAAAAGCTTTTTTTTATGTTTTTTTTTTCCTTTGGTATTTTGGAAAGGATTCAACTCAATATCACTTTTATCCTCGTTGTTTTCAATCTTCTGTGGACGCTTTAGACTTTTTTTGCTTTTTCTTCAATTTTGTTTTTTGCTTTTAAGTCCCATCCTTCCTTTTAGTATAATGTTTTCTTTTTCTTTTCTCCCTTTTTTCTTTCATTTTTTTAACTTTCTTTACTTTTATCTTTCTTTTAAGCAATTAACTCTTTGCTTCCTGCCGTAACCGTCATTGTCAGTCAATGGAAAAAGTGTTTTAAATTTTTTTTCTGTTTGTTGCTTTGAAGAGAATGTTGCTCATTGCTTTTATCTTTTTTGTCTTCAAACATTTGTTGACGCTTTAGCTTTTTATTTCTATTTTTTTTCCTTTTAACAACCTTCCTTTCTCGTAGTCTAGTCTTTTTCTTTTCTCTTTATTTCTTTCTTCTTTCATTGTCAACTTTCTTCACTTTTATCTTTTTTGTAAGCACTTCTTTTGCTTTTTGTTCTTTGCTTCTTGCTTGTGTTCTTCCCGCCGTATCTATCATCGCCAGCCAATTCAAAAGCTCTTTTTAATATGTTTTTTGTTTGATATTTTGGAGAGGATCTTGCTTAATATCATTAACTTTATTATCTTTGTTACATTTGATGAAATTAAAAATTTAATAGAATTGGAAATTTGACTGGACTGAGCGAAAGCTGTCTTTTAATGAGGTCATAACCATAAATACGTATATGCATATTTACATAAAAAAACATATAAGTAAGAGAATTTTTATTTCCACAGAGATTTTACGAGGGAAATAATGACCGATGCGGTTGAAACTCAACGACAGCTTTAAAAGTTTTTCTTTTCAATTTATGTGACATTTTGGAATTTACGAGAGGATTTGAAAACAACATTAAAAGACAAAAGTTGGACAAAACATAGTTTTTACTATTTGTTATACTTACATCCAGTTATAATATATCAACATCATGTAAAATGTTGGACGTCTGAAAAATGAACTTGGAATGTAAAATTTTATCTTACAATAAAGCTTTTATAAATACACCATGTACAGTTTTTTTTTAAATCTACTTTTCAAAAAAATTCTCAATACATACAAATGGCAGAAACCAGCTACACAATTACAAAATAAACCTACAAGTTGTGACAAAGATTTTCATTCACCTTGTATTAGATTGAGATTTTTTTAGTAGTAAACATAGAGCAATGTATACTTGTGAAAAATACCCATTTTTTACGTTATTTAGTAATCATTTTTGTTTTGTAAAATAGCCAAGTTTGGATAATCTATTTTTAATATTTATTTATTCACATTTAGAGTGTTTATAATTACAATATTTAAAATTTTATTTTTGCTTTGCTGTGTAATTTACAAAAGCTAGTATTTCAGTTTAATTAATCTTTGTTAATTTGTAAATGGAGATAGATAACTACTTGATTTTATCACTGTGAAAAAAGCAGGTGAGATCACAAATGCTGTCATTCACCGAATGTGTAATTAATTTACATGCAATGTTTTATGGATTTTTCAAATAAATTCAAATAATTAAATGCTAGAGTAGATTTCTCATTTATAGACTAATTTAAAGTATTCAAACATTTGAAGCAATTTGTTTTATCTCGAATAATCGCAATTAACTGGGGAAAAGTGGAGCAAAAAGGTATGTGTTTTTGCTTTTATTTTTGATTATGTTTAACTCGATCTTTTTTCCTAAAGTTTATTTTTTTAATGTGGCATAAAGAGTGACATTAGTTAGCCCCGATACGAAAGTGGAATCAAAAATTTATTATTTAAATTGTTGTTATTTGGGTTGTAAAAGACGCAGTGTGTTTTCAGTTTATATAAGTGTATTAATTGAACAATTGTTACTTCATTTATTCATTTTAAAGTATGCATTTTCTTTTAAACTTCAGTAATGCGCCATACACATTTTTCTTTCTTGATAGGAAAGTTCGTAGCGGTTTTCGAAGTCAAAATTAATTTATTTTTAATAATAAAGTTAATAATGAAAATGTCAAAGCGTAGACGAGTGGAAATTATTTCTTCAAGCCGTTTACTTGCTCAATTTTCGTTGGCTGAAGCAGTTTCACAGCATCAATTATTATTATTATTCGACATTTATCCAATATGTATGTTTTCCGCTAAATACGACTGTTTGTTCACAAATCCCGCTATTTCTATCAGGATCAATAAAAATATAATATTTATCAAAGGTCGAGACTTCGTTTTAGTCTGTTTCTGCGTGAAATACGTTTCAGGAATCTAGCGCATTTATTTTTCAGCAGAATAAATAATAAAGCGCATTGTCTTTATGACTGGGTGTAATTTCTCCGAGTTGATGGTTTAAAAGAGAGATTATAGCTTTAATGATATTAATAATTGTGTCAACCATGCTGCTGTTTGTGGGTTTTGGGGCGTGTCCTCTACGTCACTTAATTATAAATACGATGGAAATTAATAATTTAGCTCATACTCCATGACCTTCCTTTATTGATTTTCTTTCATTTTCCGCTTAGTGCCTTGTGAAGCGGCCAGGAAAAGTTGTTAAATACAACGGATGACATATTAACTTCAAAAGTGAAAATATAAATCTTGCTCTATTTTAAACTATATTTAATTAAGATTGTATCGTCATCAACAACCCGACTAAAAACTATTTAATGACTATAATGACCATTCTCGAAAAGTAATTTTTCTTCTTTGATTAAATTACTGCAATAAATAATGAAAGTTTGGAAGTAAACTAGAAATTAACAGCAATCTGGTGATGGGCTTTTGAATCTGCAATTACGTTGCGCTGCAGCGTGGGTGTGTTTTGATTAAAGTCCTACAAAGTTGTAAATAATGATGGTCGTTTCTTGAATTAGTTTCAAAACATGACCGTTAGAGAATTTCCAAAAAATTTTTTTCCTTGGTATTAAATGTTTTAATTAAAACTTCCAAATACAAAGTTATCAAGCCAAGCGTCCTAAAATTTCTATTTTTCCAAGAGGTTACTAAAAGGGATCTCATGTCGTGCCTCTACACAAAAGCTTTGCAAGGTGGAGGATAATTATCGGGAAATTCCAATTATGTTCAGTTTACCAAAATTAGTTGAAGCACAACCACAACCTCAACAGTATGGGTTCACGAAAGCAGTCGACTGTTATACATATTGAATGCTATTTCTATTGCAAAAAAGTGCCCTCACCTGGAAACTAAATATTGATTTTTTGAACTCTGCAACTGCATTCACCACTTTTGTGGTTTCTTTCTGTAGCACTTATCTCGGCTGAATAAAAATGTATGTAGAAAAAATTTAAAACTCTTCTTCGATGTTATCGATTTGTCCTTTAGACTTTAGAAGGTCCCCTAAAAATGAATGACTTCACCTTTTACTTTATTAGACTTTGAAGTCCTTGCTATTTTTTAGGTCATTAAAATCCGGAAACTAATCCGCATACGTAGACATTATACAGAGTAGAATTTTTAACTGGAAAAGTTGAATATAAGCGATT